AAATTAGTGTATCTGCTTTCTTAATGTTAGCTGATACCTTTTGAAGATAGTAAATAGTACAGATCCCGCAAAGGAAACAAAAATGAACAAAACAAAACCAAAAATGTCGGTGAAAAAGCCCTCAGTATGGGAATTCTTTACATAAAAGCACTTTGTAGCTAAATAGTGCTATTAATAAAATATGAGTAACAGCAGAGAATATTAAAAACACATATAAGAGTAGCCATGGCTCATGACATAGAAATGAAAATATCATTTCCAATATATTATTTCCAGAATTGATAAGATGTCACCTAAAATACTAAGCAACACCACAATTAAAATTAATGTAAAATTAAGTATACTTAACATCATCAGAAAGAATTTTACCCTTTTTGGAACATATGAAATGACCATTAGAATTAATTTTCCCTTTGTACTGATATTGTCATCCTTGCTACCAAGCCAAAGGTGGGTGACTCTAATCTGTGGCCATCAGACCTGCTTTTAATTGTTTTTGGTCAAACATTCTTCTAGGTCTGATAGCCCTGGTCTGTTCACTTGCCGTACAGAGGTAATTAGTGGTTGCTGTGAAGCTGAACACTATGACACTGAAGTGTCAAAGACGATAATGATTACCCTTGGTAGACAGTGTTTATTGGAGATCCCTGATTAAAAGAAGCTTGGAAGCAAGAGTGGTATCCACTTCCATAAATAGCTTGCCTCCAGAAACCCTATGAACGTGGAGAAAAGGATGAAAGTCATGCAAGTGTTGAGGACTTTCATTCATAGGGTCGCTATGAGTTGTCTACGACTCAAAGGCACTTAACAACAACTGGTGAGTTTGAACTGTGTGCCTTTGGGATTGCAATACAGCTTTTTATCACTAGGACACTAGAACTCTCTATATAAAAGGAACATTAGAATTAATTTTCCCTTTGCTCTATACTGGTGTATTTTTGCCTTTTAATACCTGCTGAAGAGTAGTAATATAATAGGCTTCTCACACATTGCTAAAACTGGGCCATAATTCCTTTTGTTGTTGTCGTAGGTGCCATCGAGTCAAGTGCAAGTCATAGTGACCCTATGAACAAAGGAGCTGAACCTGTTCTGTCCTGTTCCATCTTCAACCTTCCTGACACACAAAATCTCACTGCAACAGTCACCGTGCCTATCCAACTGGTTGAGGGTCTTTCACTTCTTTGTCAGCCCTCCACCCTCATAAAAGGTATGGTTGTTGGATAAATAGTGGAGTGGGGGGAAATTGGTGACAGACAACTGTCGATTTTTTTTTAAATTACTGATATGGATTCAGATGCTATTTGAGTTCTTTCTGACCACTAAACTAGACTCCCCATATACTTTGTCTTTGGGGAGCAAGTCTATTGTTGTTGTTGTTGTTGTGTGCCATCAAGTTGCCCATGACCCATAGCAACTCTGTGTACAATAGCTCTGAACCCTGCCATGTCCTGAACCAGTTTCACTGAATCCAACACACATACCCCCATTGCCCCAGCTATCATGTCAATCCATTTCATCCAGGGTCCTCCTCTCCTGTGCTGTCCCTCCGCCCTTCTAAACATGATGTCCTTCTCTGAGGACTGGTCCCCCTCCTGGCCATGTGCCCAAAGTATGTGAGTCAGAGCTTCAAAATACTTGCCTCCAAGGACAAACTTGGTTTCAACCTCTCCAAGACAGACTTATTTGTTCTCCTGGTGGTCCATGGTATGTTCAAGACTCATCTCCAGCACCACAACTCAAAGGCATCAATTCTTCCTTTGTCATCCTTAGTCATTATCCACCTCTGTGATGCATAGCAAGTAATTGCAAGGAGCACAGTCTGGATCAGGCACAACTTAGTCTCTAGGCTAACATGATTGCTCTTTAGCACTTTGGAGAAGTCCCTGACAGCACACTTCCCCAGGCAATTTATAAGGTTATAATTAGCCTATGAGTTATGCACAACAATCTAGGGAACGTGTTGGGTAAATCCTTAATGACTCCAAGAGTCACAGGTTCAACCACCAGGTAGCCAAGCAGTGGGACCTCCATAACCAATTCTGAAAGCTTTTAATCTGCAGTTGTGTTTCCACTCATTAGCCCCGTCTGTAACAATGCTCCCTCCCAATCTTGTAAATGAAAGCCATGACCCAGGATACAACTGAAAACTCTCAGTCCCAAGTTCTAATGATTTTCCTCAGTTTGGGATGATTTGTCTGTTTGTCCTGTTTATTCACAATGTGAAACATGTCAGGCTATTGCATGAAAGGTCAGCAGTTTGAATCCAAGTGCTTCTCGGGAAGAAAGATGGGCCGTTTCCTGCCATAAAGATTTACAGGCTCCAAAACTTGCTGGAGGATCTACAGGAGTGAGAACTGACCAAAGGGCAGTGGGGTTGGCTTTGGTTTAGAGGAATAATAAGGTCAGAATTACTGAGTCAGAATTGACCCGATAGCAGTGGATTTTACAGAACATGTTTGAATCTAAGGTATCCTTTTCCCTCAAGAAGACAATTCAAACATTTCTTCAATAGGACTTAAGAGGAGGGGTAGAAAAACAACTAGCAACAAACCCTCAATGATAAGTGACCACTATCACAAGGCTAGTGGACAATCTCTTATCCTTACTTCCTGAAAATAACCCTACACTCTTTGTAATTATAATTGAGCACCATACAATGAAGACAACTGAGTAACCTAAAAGCAGGTCTCCCTTCTGCTAAACTAATTTATTCATGACAAAAAGCATTTTTGCCCTTCAGCTAAATGGGAAGAAGCCAGCTTGCTCTCCTCCTATTTGCACCAAAGAAAAGAGCAAAGTTGTCAAGATCTAAAAAGTTGTCATTTTACATCAGAAGGAAGGCGGTGACTCAACACGTAGTATTGTAACCGGAACGTGCCCGCTGACTGTAAACCTGTCATCATTAGCAGATACTTTGAGGAGCTACTGAGATCTAACGCTCTTGAAACCCAGTTTAGACAGACATTTTCTCATTATAAGTTGCTGTGTAAGAATTTGCTATGGAATTTACTGTCATATTTGATATACTAGGTAATACATTGCCTGTACAATAGAGCAGAGCTGGATTTCTCAATGTCTGTTTTGATTGTATCAGACTGGATTTAATAAAAGCTCTGATTGACTTGGTAACATGAAAATGAGTGCAAACCCTGCAAAATGAACTCTCCCCATCATTTTTGTGTTTGGAGCAGGTTTCAGGCTGATTTAGGAAAAGGGAGAATTTTAATAGGATTTAAAACTTTTGTGCATTTACTCTCCCTATATATATCAGGTGTATTTGGGAATATTTTGAACTTTACAGTAAAGTTTAAAATGAGAAGAATTTATCCAAATAAATACTTGCACAAGTTTTCTGCCACTGCCATTAACAAGGAAACGTTCTACTATTGTTTATGTCTTCTCTCCTAAGTTAAGGAAAAATATGAATTATCAGACAGATAGATACACACACACATTTAACTTTTTAAGCTTCTAGGTGAAGCTCAATTATTTCTAGGGAAAGAATGAAATGTTATGCTTTCATTGGCATAACTTTATAAAAAATAAACCTTTTCACTTATAAATTTACATATGCTTACATATATTGTATGCAGGCAGAGTACTATAAATGACTTATTCTTGAACCTAAAATTACAGAGACATTCAGAAAAAGACACCAGAAATGCTGAGTTGCTTGCTGATAATGAATGTTGACTGTTGTTGATTGCCTTCGAGTTGAACAAGACTCATAGTGATCCTATGAACAAAAGGATTGAAGCTCCTCTACAACTATTGACATTTATCAAAGTTCATCGTGTTTCCAGAGGCATGTTGTTTAGGAAGTGGATGCCACTCTTGCCTGAATGTTGATTAATAGTACAATATTTCTCAACATCTCCACTCTAGGGTGAGTTAATGACAGAAGGACATAAAATAAATTAGCATTCATCAATTTTCATTATGCACCAAATAGGCACTTCTTTGATGTGAACTCAGTTACACTCTAGCCATGGAAAAATACCACTCTTAAATACAGCATCATTTCCCAGTGTTATATTTAAATGTTATTTTAGGGAACAATTATAAAAAAAGTTGACCAGTCAGGCCTATTCTATTTGAAAACATGAGCAAATACTAAAAGTCTTCTTAAAACACCAAACCAATTATAAAACACAGTTATCTTGAAAAATACATCCTTGTCTCTGCAATTCCCCAAAATTTGTGAATCTAGGCACCGTGATCCAGTTTGCACTCTCAATTTCAATGTTTGAGAAACTTAAATCAATCCAGAAACTATTACTAAATCAAGGGGGGAAAATGACTGACTACACATCAACCTGAAAGAGAGAGATTGGATTTTTAAAAATCTTTTAAAACTGTATTTTTCCACCATAGAGATCATTATGTGTTTCCCATACACCTTTTGACAATGTCAAGCTTTAAAAACTGTTGCTCAATATAGGACAATCATGAAGTGGTATATCTTCTTTATCATCTTCCCCCCTTTTGAGCAAATATTCTATTGATCTAGATACATAGTAAAATTTTATTCTGAATGGACATTTCTGACATTTGTAATAAAGCATTAGCTAAGCAAATCTCTTTCCTTTTGAGTCCTAAGGTTTAAAGCAACTCTGTTGACTAATGCCAATAAATCTGTGTTTGCTGTACATAACTACAGAACAACAACTCTTTCATTTCCTTGTGCTATGTCAAAAAGAAGAGCATAACGTTTCAAAGCAGCAGAACATCAAACCATAAACATACTCCAGTTGAGCTGATCTGATTCAGAGTGACCCTACAAGACAGAGTAGAATTGCCCTACAGAGTTTCCAAGGCTTTTCAAGAGTTTCCTGAGCTTTACAGAATCATATGCCCTCTTCTTTTTCCCACTCAGTGGTTCATGGATTTGAATCAACAACCTTTTGGTTACTAGCCAGGAGTTTAATCGCTCACCATCACAATTTGCGCACCTTGGTAGGTATTTTTTCAAGCCTCTATTTTCTAGGATGAAAACTTACTTTGCCTTCAGGGTCTCCTCCTGAAAGTTCCAGTGTGGGTCTTCCACAAGTTGTAATTCTCTTAATACTCTTCCAGGTTTATAAGCAGCATTGATTATCATGCTAAGAACCTGTTGGAAAAAATAAGTAACTGCAGTCAAGTTCAATTAGCTTCATTTCGACTAAAACAATGCTTTTAAAACCGTATCACTTACAGTGGCAGAGACATTTGGAGAATGCCTACATTAAGTGATTAGTCTGGCTGAACATTCTGCAGGTGAACACCGAGGTGGCTCACTACCAACAGGATAAAACCTGGTGGTAAAATCTAATTCTTCCAACTAGGAGTGCATGAGCTGCTCACCAGGGGGAGTGGCTGACAACTCTTAGCTGCACACAAAAAAGAAAACTATTTTCTCTAAAGAGAAATTTATAGGGTCCTTCTACTCTTCTATCTTATAGAAGATTATTCTTCTTCAGTAAGATAAGGCATTGTGAAGTTAGTCTTACTTTTAAAAATAAATTTTAACAGAAACAAGAAAATTAAAAAAAAAAAAAGTTTGTGCTAATGCTTCCAGACAGACACCACATTACCTGTAAATAGCGAGACAAATTACACACAATTCACCTGATGCTGGCTCAGTTAATGGATATTAACACTAAGACAACACTCTCACATGTATTTTTAAAAAGGGCCTACAGTTCACTTCAAGCAATATTCTATTTCCTTAAGCCACTCCATTCACTTCCAAGTATCAAGCACAAAAACATAACCATGTGGGCATTGCCTATTGTAGGGCACCCACAAGAATGATCCCTCCTCCACTGCATACCCAGGGAAGATACACATTCCCAAATGAGCTAACCTCAATATGCATCTCTAATGAAAGGAACAAGAGACTTAAATCTAAACCCCTGGAGCACTCGCCTTCCAGTAAACAAATCAACACTATTAACATTTGGGAATTCTGGCTCGCTCAGTAGCTGCTACCATTCAGAAAGAGCACTGGAAGACTTTGATGGTGAAAAGGAGCACTGGATGCCCCTGCTCGGCCTCGTGAAATGAGCATTTTTTGTGGAGGGCTAAACTCCAGTGATGTGGAGGAGCTTTACTGTTAAGAAGCTGTGCTGCAATCCCAAGGGCACACAGTTTGAATCCACCAGTTGTTCCAAGTTGCTCCAGTGCGATTTACTGTATCTGAAAACCAGTTGGAGGGTCAGCTGAGTAGGTTCTGGCTCGAAGGTACACAACAACAATAACAACAACATACATGAATCAGCTAGGCACTGGGCTCATATTTCATGGGGGGGTCTGCAATTATTGCTAAAGCACTCAGTATATTTTGGAGATGGTTGTTGTTGTTGTTGTTGATTGCCTTAGAGTTGAGCATGACTCATAGCGACCCTATGAACAAAAGGCCTGAAGCCCCTCTACAACTATTGACATTTATGAAAGTTCACAGAGTTTCCAGAGACAAGTTGTTTAGGAAGTGGATGCCAGTCCTGCTTCCTAACCTATCATAGTAGTTATTGGTTGAGTCACCTGTGATATATAGCGACCCTATGTACAGCAGCTCTGAGCCCTTCCCTGTTCTGAGCCAGTCTCACTAATCCTGATACAGCAACCCCCATCGCCCAGTTACTATAACAATCCATCTCATTGGGGAGGAAAAAAAAAAAAAGAAAGGAAGGTAATTGAAGTAGGTTGTAGGAATCTTCATGTCATAATTTTTCACTCAACTGATGCATGCAGTTCACACCCTGATTTATTTCTGAAAGACAAAGCTTTCTTGTCTTATAACGCAAGATACTGAAGATTTGATTTGAAACTATTTTGTGCTATGTAGACAGCGTTGACAACTGTCTCTTCTTTGCAGGGGTTCCCAGAGTTCTGTAATTCCCATCAAGAAAGCCTGGCTCAGCAGGCACTAAGAGGCCATGACAATGCAGTACAAGCCTTTTCAGCGTGTTTATGTTTTCTATATTGGAATAATCATCTGATCTTATTGTTTACTGTCAGTACAATTCACAGAAATGGCGTTAAAAATAAATCTAATTAGAACTGGCTGAAATAACGCACCAAGTGTTTATCAACAGACAATAACATTTCAACGGGTTCTTTTCAATATGCTTAGCTGAGAAAACCACAGAGCTACATGCCATTCTATTGCATATCGAAATGCATTTTGTGACTATGAAAAGAAAATGCCTTTCAGAGTTCAATTTAGTCTGGGACTAGGCAACAATTAAGTGATAAAAAGCACCCACTATTGAGTATTTTACAGTGAGTCAATCCCATGGCTTTTCCTGATGCCACAGCATTTGTCTCCAAATTCAAAAAGATGTTCAAATTGTGAGCAGAATCATTTTTATGCACATGAAATCTTAACATATTTTAGTTACCTTGATAAAATTAACTACACGGACATTGATTATTACTACTCAGACTGCAATACTGTGCAGTGCAAAGCACCAGAAAGCAATTCTTTATGCTCCTGATCAGAGGACAGCATGGGACCCTTGACATTAAGTAAATTAACAGGATTTCAGCTGTGAGGCCAATAATCATTATGCCCAATACACTGATGGGAGAGTTTCTCAATGAGGAGACTCATCATAAGGTCACACAATTTGATGGAGGTCAGGGATGAAGGAAATTGGAAAGATACGGTATGAAAAACAATGTATTCGAACTTTGTCAATAAATCAGTATAATTTTTTTTTTAAAGGAGGAGATACGTGTTTTGGAGAGCAATGCCTCACTGGATTTCTTGAGAGTTCAAGGCATATTAAAAAATACGTCTAGGTAGTTCTGGTGACCTAGTGGCAAGAAACTGAGCTGCAATCCCGAAGGCAGTGGTTCGAATCCACCAGATGCTCTGCTGGAGAAGGAGGGTCAATCACTTCCTGTACCAGTTGGATCTGATTCGATGGCACACAACAAAAAAAGAGAAAAATAAAGAGGAAAAAAATACTTTTGTGCATAAATCTGATAGATTATTTGAAACCAAAGGATTAACACAATGGCTTATTAGAACACAAAGCATTTGCAGTTTGATGGATCTAAGATGAAACACCATTTCCACCTCCTAGATGTTTTTAGTACTTCGGTAAGATGGCTTATAGTTTGACTTTCCATATCTGAGAATAGGGCACTATTATTTACCTGGTACATTAGGTTATTATGAAGAACAAAGGTGATAACATCTTGGCATACAAAATGTGAAGCTTAAATAGAGCTCTCTTCTAAAAAAATTTAAACCACCAATATGGTTCTTAACAACCCATAAAATAAATGCTGTTCTTGCCCTTCAAATCCCTTGGGCTGTAACTGTTTCAGTTCTACTTCTTCAGAAAAAAGAATTCTCTCAAGAGACTTCTCAATTTTTAGCTATTGCCTTCTTTGCATAGTTAAATTTCTTTAGAAAACAAACAATTATTATTTTTAAATTGACCACATTCAATTCACTTTTCAACCCACCAAAATGTTATTTCCTCTCTAAACACTACACAAAAATGCTGTGGAGCAATAAGTCACTAATATTCTGATCATCAAATCCAATCAGGACTTTTCTCTATCCCTGGACCTCTAAGTCATCTTATGCATAGTTGACTCTCCATCCCAGAATCCTCTTTCCTACCTCTACCCTATGAACCACAAAAGTCTGTTCTGAATATGGTGAGAAAAACAGGGTAGAGAGACAAGTAAGGTAGTTTACCAGAGGGAGGAAGAAACAAAAAGAATAATGTTACTATTTCATGTAATTAAAAAAAACAAAACAAAACACATAAACAGTGATTGGTTTAAAGAAGCCACTTAATAAAATGTTAGTTTTCTTCTCCCGTGACTCTCTTACATGAACAATTTTAGCACTCAGAAGACAATGCAATTGAAAGGGATTTCCTCTTTATTTACTGAAATAATGCTATTACATTATTTCTTCTAATGTTCTAGTCCACAAAAATGTCTTCTCACAAAACAACAAAAAGTTAGCTCCACGCTCAACTATATCACATGACTGAAGTTCTAACAATGTTGAAAGTACAAAGAATCATTCACTAGGAGATCAATGTTTTTCAATGTCAGTTATAAAAACACTCCAAAGAAAAAGCATGGCTCCCATAGTTTGGGCTAAGCTGATTGAGGGGGAAGAAGAACCCATGACTGAAGGTTGTTGGATTCTAGTGACTCTGTCGTGACATCTCTTTAGGTCTTGGTGTAAACTCTTTTAAAAGACTAACTCCCAGGACAACATGAGAGAAAGAAAATTTTTTCTCTTGAATAGTCAGAAATAAATAAATAAATAGATCAGGAAGGAGAGAGTAAACTCCCACTCCCACATTCTATTTACTCCATGGTTCATTGTATGATACATAGTGACTCACGGCTTATGGTTACAACTGGGTTTTTACAGACATTACTGTTGGATTAAAATTTATTTCTTCTTTGTCACTTCAAAATAAGATGAAATGGATCTAATTTTATGAGTAATTTCTCCAACTTAGTCATTTCTCTTTACAGAAAGGGAAGTTTTCTCTGCCATATGATTTCTTCTATAGAAGGTTGCAAGAGAAATAAAATTAATAAAGACTTAGACTTTAACACCTGACATTGCCATTGCAATCAGACCCCTGTGATATGCAGAGCAGAGAAGCAGGGCTTTTATTTGTGTAACAGCTGTAAGTGGAGATGTTGCTTTTAAAAGGGCTGTTTGTGAAAAGGAACATCTGAAAGTTTCAGAAGATTTTTTTTTTTTTCTTTTCTGATGTTGTGCCTTTTCCCTCTCAGTCACATCACACTGACCTGGTATCTCAAGTCGATGATGTCAACGATATTAGGGTGTCATTGCTCCTTAAGTTCTTATATATAAAAATGCCATAAAACACTGGAAATAAATGAAGTTACACTTGCAACATAAAAAGAAGAGCCAGGCTAATCTTCCCTTAGGGCACACATAACCAGTTAAAAGCAAGCAGAGAAAAGCATGACGTGGCCTGGAGAACTTTGGAAAGAAAATGAAGCAAGTGAGTCAAAAAGTGATTTAACCCTAAAAAGTCAAGAAACTCAACTTATTGTCCTCCAGTTGTAACTGACACACAGCTGACTCTTGGCTGGATTTTCAGAGGCTGT